GAGCAATTAGGCAAGAGAAAGGAAAAAAAAGAATCCAAATAGGGAGTGAAGAAGTGAAACTCTTGCTGTTTAGAGACGACATGATCTTATATATAGAAAACCCAAAAAAATCCATTGGAAAACTAATAGAAATAATTAACAACTACAGTAAAGTTGCAGGGTACAGAATCAACTTACAAAAATCAGTTGCTTTTCTATGCTCCAATAATGAACTTACAGAAAGAGAACTCAAGAATACAATTCCATTTGCAATCACAACTGAAAAAGTAAGTACCTAGGAATAAATTTAACCAAGGAAGGGAAGGACTTTTATGACGAAAACTATAAGACATTACTGAAAGAAATTGATAATGACATAAAGAGATGGAAAGAGCTTTCTTGCTCATGGATTAGAAGAATAAACATAGTTAAAATGTCCATACTACCCAAAGCAATCTACAGATTCAATGCAATTCCAATAAGAATCCCAATGACATTCTTCATGGAAATAGAGCAAAGAATCCTAAAATTCACATGGGGCAATCAAAGACCCTGAATTGCTAAGGCAATCCTGAGAAAAAAGAACAATGCTAGAGGTATCACAATCCCTAACTTCAAAATGTACTACAAAGCCATAGTGATCAAAATGGCATGGTACTGGTACAAAAACAGACACACAGATCAATGGAACAGAACTGAAAGCCCAGAAATAAAACCACACATCTACAGACAGCTAACCTTTGACAAAGTTGCCAAGAACATACAACGGAGAAAATATAGTCTCTTCAATGAATGGTGTTGGGAAAACTGGCAGCCACATGCAAAAGAATGAAGGTAGACCACTATCTCACGCCATACACAAAAATAAACTCAAGACGTGAAGATAAATCCCAAAACTATATAACTCCTGGAAGATAATATTGGTAGTACACTCTTTGACATCAAACTAAAAAGGATCTTTTCAAATACCATGTCATCTCAGACAAGGGAAACAAAAGAAAAAATAAACAAGTGGGAGTTCGTCAGACTAAAGAGCTTCTGCAAGGCAAAAGAAACTAGAATCAAAACAAAGAACCCACCAATTGGGAGAAAATATTTGCAAATCATATATCTGACAAGGGGTTAATGTCCATAATATATAAGGAACTCACACAACTGAACAATAAAAAAATAAACAACCTGATCAAAAAATGGGCAGAGGAGATGAACAGACATTTTTCCAAAGAAGATATACAGATGGCAAATAAACACATGAAAAGATGTTCAACATCACTAATCATCAGGGAAATGCAAATCAAAACTACACTAAGATACCACCTTACACCTGTTAAAATGGCTGTAATCACTAAGACTAAAAATAACAAATGTTGGAAAGGATATGGAAAGAAAGGAACCCTCATACACTGCTGGTGGGAATGCAAACTGGCGCAGCCACTATGGAAAACAGTATGGAGAGTCCTCAAAAAACTAAAAATAGAACTATAATATGACCCAGCTATCCCACTTGGGTATCTACCCAGACAATTTGAAATCAACAATCCAAAGGAACATATGCACCCCTATGTTCATTGCAGCACTATTCACAATAGCCAAGATGTGGAAGCAATCCAAGTGCCCATCAACTGATGATTGGATAAAGAAGATGTGGTATACATACACAAAGGAATACTACTCAGCCAGAAAAAAAGACAAACTCATCCCATTCGCAATAACATGGAAGGACCTGGAGGGAATTATGCTAAGTGAAATAAGCCAGTCTGAGAAAGACAAACACCAGGTGATTTTACTCATATGTGGAATATAAACAAATACATGGACAAAGAAAACAGTTCAGTGGTTACCAGGGGAAGGGGGTTAGGGGGTGGGCACAGGGGGTGAAAGGGAGCACTTAGGTGGTGACAGTCAAGAAATAATGTACAACTGAAATCTCACATTGATGTAAACTATTATGAACTCAATTAAAAAAAATTTCGAACAAAGCAGATTTGAAAAAGCCTATATAACCTAATGCTATTCTTGCTGTACTTATGTAAATAATTGGCCAAGTTTATTAAAACTACACTTATTTTACAAACCAGTGAGTCTTAATTGGCTATCTTTGGTAAAAATGAGGGTGATTTTAGAGAGAAAAATTATGGTTCAATAGAAACTATAGTACACATTCATGGATATTAGGTTCTAGTTCAGATAATTATTTTAAGGTCTTTGTTTTCTATCTGTAAAGTGGACTGGATCCTGAATTCTTCTAGTCTCCTGAAATATCTGGTTACAAATCTCCAAACAAATGTTTTCAATTTTTTTCCCATCATTTTCATTTGGAATCATTGAAAACTGAACCTGCCCTTTTCCTGAAGCCCTACAGACTGAAGCTGGACAACTTGATATAAACTTAAGGGAGATTCATGTCTGTTGCTGTCTGTGTAAGCCACTCACAAAGATACCTGAATACCCAATGACATCATCAGAGGCATTTCAAGCTACAAAAGATGGTGTGACTCTGATATTTAGAAATCTTTTAGGCTGACTGCTCCCTGAGCTCAGAAACCAATTTATAACGTGCTCCCACCATTAACTTTGTTTTTTATCTTTTTCTTTTTTCACTAGAAATTACTTATGTTAATAACTCAGAGAAAGTTGAGACCAACATCTGGGAAATCTATGAACAATAATCCTGGCTTCACTGATATAACCAAGGAACAGACCCCAATAGGGCATGGTCACTGATCAAGGGTGCCCTCCCATCCCTCATCTGCTTCCTTCCCTTCTTGGGATCCCTGGTAATCATCCTACTCCTATTAATTTTTGTCCCTGTCTTTTTAACCTTCTTGCCAAGTTTGTTTCCTCTAGGCTCCAGCAATTCCACAATAAACTGATGGTCATGCAAGGATTCCAGCCACTTCCAATGGCTGACCCACCAGCCCCTCATTCTCATTCCTATCAGACCCTGCAACAAGCTGAAAAAGATTTTTACTCCTCCCGGATATATGGCCCCCTTCTCAATGGCCCCTGTTAGCAGGAAGTAGCTTCAGAAGAAGAGAATTTTGCCCATGATCTGTAAGATTAAGGAGGATAAAATCTCTCAAGGGGGAATGAGACAGGAACCAGCCTAACGAGACAGGGCCATCTGAAAGGACTCTGGCCTAACAAGGTAAGGCCCCTAACCAATGGGCAAACTAGGAGAATCAGATAGAGACCACCAAGGTCCACATTCCACAGCCTCTGGACTTTCCTGGGCTTATGCATGCACCCTAGCACCCAGGAGTCCACTGAAGGTGACCCTAGCACCATTAGCATAGCAAAAATCACACCCAGGGATGGAGAGCTAGCATGCTAATGATACATGCATCGCATGTAGTAGCATGTTATGAGACAGCACAGGTGCAAGCACAACCCCACCTTTACATGCCACGACAAGGCACTCCTCTCCAGCCTTTGCCTAATAAAAGCCCCACTATTCCATTCCCTAATGAGCCAGTCACTTGCCCCTTTCCTTTCTGTACTGGCTCCCTTGTACCTCTACTGTGCACAAGATAATAAACTTTTACTTTTCTACTCCCATTTGTTGTCTCTCTTGATTTCCATCCTGGGGGACAATAAGAATCCAACGTTTTGGTAACAAGCCCACCCCTTTAGCTAACTGGGAATCAACTTTCTTCAACTCTGACACATCTAACCTGATTCCTTCAGGAGCTATTCCCAAGGCTCTTATCCAACTGCCTAGCCTAGATACCTAGGCAGCAACTCAAGTTTAATGAGACTAAACTGAGCTCCCAACCTTCCTTGTCCTGCCCCCCCACCCCCAGTCTTCCCCATATCAGTGAATCACAACTCCATCCTTCCAGTTACTCAGGCCAGAACACTTTGAAGTCATTCTTCACTCCTCTCTTCTCTCCTCTCATATCTGGTCTGTCAGTGAACCCTATGAAGCCTATCAACTCTCTTTAAGACATACCCAGAATTTGACTACTCTCCACCACCTCACTGCTACCACCCTGGTCTAAGCCATTATCTTCTTGCCTGGCTTATGGCAACAGCTTCCTAAAAGGTCTTCTGGCTTCAGCCCTTGTCCTACAGTCTTTTCACAAAACAGAAAAGAAAATGAATCTTTTAACACCAAAGTCTTATCATATCATAATGCTACTCAAAATCCTTCAATGGCTTCTCATCTCTTTCAGGTAAAACCAACATCCTCACCCTCACCTTAATGCTTTACACAATCATCTCATTATCTCTTTTTTCCTTCTAAACTCAATATCATACCTGGCTGTTGGCTTTTGAGAACTTATTTCTCTCTTCTCCCTGTTTGAGCCTTTGCCACCCTTCAGACAAAATCCCGGTCTTCATAGAGCTTATACTCTAGAGTGGTAAGACAGACAGTAATGGAAGAAATCAAGCAGAGCTGGCAGCCAGAGAGTGCCAGAGAGTGGCAGGAGCAGAGTTGCTATTTTAAGTCTGGAGCTCTGGAAAGTGCTCATGGAGAGGGCAACACCTGGGCAGATGGCTCTGGCTGTTGGAAAACAATTGTAAAGGAGGCAAAGTGGAAGCAGAGATGCCACTTAAAAGGCTCAGGCAGCTGCCCACGGGAGAGAAGTCCCTCAGCACATTCTACTAACCCTCACCCACTCCATCCTTTCTGAATCGCTGCAGAACGGGGGAGCCATGTCGATGTCCCCTGCATACCCACCGGCTCTCACACTTGCTCCTTTTGCCTGTCAGGGAGTGAGTGGAGAGTGGTCTCCAGAGTACAGCTGCTGTTAAAAGGAAACTGCACCACCAAGTCAGCAAATGAGCAAGAAAGAGAAAATGTCAGTTGTCCTTGTCCCACTGAGATCATTTCTGACCAATCAAGTCAAATTACCCTGCCGCTTTACCACAGGAGAAACTCAAGCAAAAGGATACTTTTCTTCATTTCCTCCAAAGGGCTCTTTGTTCAGCCCATGCTTACAGGCTCTGAAGTTAAAAACAGGAAGCAGGAAAGTAAGCAAAGTGAGCATGCACTTTAAAAGGAAGAAGTTTTTTACCTGTGGCTCCAAACACTGCAATTATTTTTTTGCTAGTCATGTTACTGGACAAAGAAAGTGCCAGTGATGTAGCAGAACTTCGTTCAGAGCAGTGACAGCAGCTGAAATGCAGTTTCTCCTTGAGTGTGAGAATTATAAACCACATCCGAGTACCACACCCCTTATTTTGCCCCTCCCTTATAAAGTTTTCATTATTATCACCAGATAGCTTACTCACAATGACATAGCAATTTTCTAAACCAGGATTCATTCACTCACTCACTCATCTGTTCAGCAAGTATGTATTGAGTGCCTTTGGTATAACAGACATTCAACTAGAGGCCCTGGTCATCCAGATCTTTTAAGGGAGATAATCTAGTAAATACAAGTACAGTAGAGAGGAATGGCAGAGAGGACGTAGGTCAGGGAGGAAAGAAACAAAACCCAGACTAGAGGTGTTAGGGAAGATTTTTCAGAGGAGATGATGCTGGAGCTGACCTTCAGTCCCCATAACTTATTCAATCAGGGATACTAGAAATAGAGACCATCCCAGGCAGGAAGAACCACATGTAGCCAAGTTCAAAGGCAGGGCAATCATGACACAGGGCTCATGATGGCTGAAACAATGCTTGTGAGTGGCAGGAAGTAAGACTGAGAAGGATGGCAGAGGTCAGAACACAAAGGGCCTTGTAGGCATGACAAGGAGCTTAGATTTATCCTGACAGGCACAGCAGGTTTTATGTGATCCTCTGGCACCAGAGTGGAGCTCAGTTGAAACAAGACAATGCCAGAAGCAAGGACACTCCTAAGGAGACCAAAGAAATGATACAGGTGAGAAATAACAAAGACTTGAATAGAGGCACTGTTTTGAGTTGAATTGTGTCCCCCCCAAAATTCATATGTTGTAGTCCTAACCCCCAGTACCTCAGAATGGACCTTATTTGGAGAAAGGGTCTTTACAGAGGTAATCAGGTTAAAGTGAAATCATTAGAGTTGGCCTAATCCAGTATGACTGGTGTCCTTATAAAAGGGGAAAGTTAAACACAGATACATACAAAGAGAAGATGATGTGAAGATACAGGGAGAATGCCATTTGAACATGAAGATGGCTGTCTACAAGCCAAGGAGAGAGATCTGGAACAGATCCTTCCCTCACAGCCCTCAGAAGGAACCAATCTTGCCAACATCTTGATTTTGGACTTCTGGCCTCCAGAAATGTGAGACAATAGATTTCTGTCGTTTCATCACTCCACTTTGTGGTACTTTGTTATGGCAGCCCTAGCAAACCAATGCATGCAGACATGCAGTGACAATAGAAGTGAAGTGAAGAGATTTAGGAGGCAAACACAAGTTCTTCATGATTGATTGGACATAGGGAAAATGAAAGTGAGGAAGAGAAAGGATTAAAAAATGACTCTGCCAACTGGGCAGGCAATGGAGGAGCAGGAACAGGGCTCAAGAGGAAATAGGTTCAGAATTGGACCTCTTGAGTTTGAGGCTGCAGCTTGTTGAGTGATTCAGAGGTGAGGAAATGAAGAAAGCAAGTGTAGATGTCTCCTTTAAAGAGCTTTGTTATAAAGGAAGTGAGAGTGAGCTGTGGTTATAAGTTGAAATAGAATTTTATTTCAACAGAAAAGATGTGAACATCTTTGTGGGTTAAAGGTGGCTCTCTCCATGCCTCATACTCAGCTTTCTTTTTCTTCACAACACTTATGACTTGACATGTTACAGGTAAGTTTATTTGCTCATATGTTTATTTCTAACCCCCTCCCAACTAGACTGTATGCTCCATGAGGGCAGTGACTTTGTTTTATTCACTTGTGTATATCTCCAGTGCCTACAGCTATATCTGGCACATAGTAGGTGCACAGTAAATATTTTTGAATTAATGAATGAACAATCAGTAGAGTTAGGTTCCTGAGGAAGCTGGAGGGTACGGACTCTACAGCATGGATGAAGGAGTGCTGAAAATAGCAGGCACTGCAGAGATACATTGGACCCTTTGCCAAACAGATATGAAGACAGATCCAGGACAGGGAGTAGATTATGGGTCTGCAGCCCATCTGCCCCTTGACTTTCCCTCCACTCTCCCACTCATATCACTTGTTGTTTCCTAATTATCCTTGCAAGAGGAAGCAATTCTCCTAACTGCTCCTCTCTACAGTGCAACCCACAATGAAACTGAGAGATAAACTCCAGAGTTGTTACAGATTGGAAGAAGTGGTCATGCACACCTGCTCATTTCTTGAGGGCAAATGTGCAGAGGCTAAGCTGGACAAGCTAAATCCAGAAGGTCCAGTAAACAGGAAACTGTATGTTCTCATTTATAAGATAAAGATACTAATGGAATAAAGTCAGATACGTCACAAGAAAGCTAAACTGCACTTCTGCTACATTAAACTATACACAACCCTACACTAGCCATATGGAGAATCCTCAGTACTATTCCAAGCAGACATGCAGAGGAGACAAAGATTTATATTCCAGGCAGTCTATCCATAGCATAATTTGTATTGAAAAGAAGCGGAAACAATCTAAATGTTCACCACTAGGGGAGTAGTTAAATAAATTACGGTATAGCCATAAGACAGAATGGTATACCTCCATTAAAAATTACATTTTAGGGTGTCAGCATCATGGTGGAGTGAGCTTTTCCCTTAGACTCTCTCCCTAAGATACAATGAAAAGGACATTCATAAACTGACAGAGGATATTCACACAACACAGAAGATGTCTGAGAGACCCATGCAGACATACATCTGAAGTTGGAGGTGCTGGACCTCCCAGAGGAAGGGGGTGGAGATAAGGGGATCTCCTCTCCCTCTCAAACAGCAGTGACCCAGGGCTCAGGACCATGCACGGCTCTGAGAAAAGAGGGGGTAGGGACAGCTCTCCACAGGAACACCTTCACTCTCCAAGTTCCCTCACAGCCCATGGGGAAGCCCCACACAGAACTGGCTAAGCTATTGCAGGGATGTCTTCATCAAGCCAGCACCCCAAGACAGCAGTTAGCGAGGGTAGAATGAGAATGCCCCCTGGATCACAAAGGTGAGAGAAATTACCCCTCCTCCCACCTGGCACTCAAGCTGAGCCGGTTGGCCAGAGCACCCAAGCATAGGTTAGAAAAGAAGCAGCTGTGAGCAAGTGAATCGGCAACTGTAGACGGGACCTGTCAGCATAGATTTCAAAAGACATGCGCAGATGCCAGGGGATGTGGTGGGCTCAGAATACACAGCTCTTGACCACCCTCCCCACCCCCCAGCAGTGGTGGCAGCTGGAAGCTGTGAACAGATACAATCACTATGCAAAGGCACATTCATATCATCAAATAATATGAAGAAATATATTAATACTTCATACCAGAAGGAAATTACATGCACCCAGAAATCAACCCTGGAGGCACAGAAATTTATAATCTAAATGAAAGAGAATTCAAAATAGTTAGCTCAAAAATAAAACTATATGCATTATAAGAAAATACAGATAGACAGTCAATGAAATCAGGAACAAAATTAATGAACATAGGGAATTCTTCATGAAAGAGATTGAAACTATAAAGAAAAATCAATCAGAAATGTTGGAGATGAAAAACACAATGAATGAGATAAAGAAAAATCTGGACTCCTTGAATAACAGAGCTGATATTATAGAGGAGAGAATTAGCAGCCTGGAGGACAGAAATATAGAAATGCTTTAGATAGAGGAGGAGAGAGAATTAAGACTAAAAGGAAATGAAGCAAGTCTCCAAGAAATATCCAGCTCAATTAGAAAATGCAAGATAAGGATTATAGGTATTCCAGAGGGAGAAGAGAAGGAGAATGGAGCAGAAAGCTTCTTCAAAGAAATAATAGCTGAGAACTTCTTAAACTTGGGGAAGGAGCTAGAAATACAAGTAAAACAAGCTAATATAACTCCTAATTATATCAATGTAAAAAGACCTTCCAAGGCATATAGTAGAAAAATTGGCAAAAGTCCATGACAAAGAAAAAATATTAAGAGCAGCAAGGCAGAAGAAAATAACCTACAAATGAACCCCTATCAGGCTTTTAGAAGATTTCTCAGCAGAAACCTTACAGCTATGAGAGAGTGGAATGATATACACAAAATTCTGAAGGACAAAAACTTTCAGCAAAGAATTCTCTATCCAGTGAAAATATTCTTCAGATATGATGGAGAAATAAAAACTTTCCCACATAAACAAAAGCTAAGGGAATTCATTGCCACAAGATGCCCCCCCCCCCCCCACACACACACAAGAAATGCTCGAGAAGGCCTTAATAGCTGAAAAAAAAAAAAAAAAGGAAAGGGTTTACAAAGCCTTGAGCAAGGAGATAAACAGGCAGACAAAATCAGAAAATTGCAGCTCTCTATCAGAACAGGTTGGCAAACACTAAATTATAACATTTAAGATAAAGGGAAGGAAAACATCAAAAATAAATATAATCTTGTCATTTTAACAACAAACTCACAACACAAGATGGAATAAATTGTGACAACAATAACTTAGAAGAGGAAGAGGAAAGGGGGGAATCAGCTTAGTCTAAGGAAATAAGAGGCTATCAGAAAATGGACTATCTCATCTATGAAATTTTTTTATACAAACTACATGGTAACCTGTAAACAAATAATCAGAACAGAGAAACAAATGATAAATAAATAGAAAACTGAGAAAACCATCATAGAGAACTATCAAACTGAATTGATAGTCCAAAATGAGAAATGAGGGAAATACCGAACAACTGGAAAATGAGTGATAAAATTGCAGCATTAAGCCCTCATATATCAATAATCACTCTAAATGTAAATGGATTGAATTCTCCAATAAAAAGACACAGAGTGGCAGGGTGGATTAAAAAATCAAGACCAAACAATATGCTGCCTCCAGGAAGCACATCTCAGCTCCAAAGACAAACACGGTCTCAGTGATGGAAGACAATACTCCAAACTAATGGCAAACAAAAGAAAGCAAGAGTTGCCATACTTATATCAGACAATGTAGACTTCAAAATAAAACAGGCATTGAAAGACAAAGGGGCAATATATAATGACAAAAGGGATACTCCACCAAGAAGACATAACACTTAAAAATATATATGCACTGTGGCCGGCCCCATGGCTGAGTGGTTAAGTTCGCACACTCTGATTTGGCAGCCCA